CGTTTTGAGGAATGCCAAATATAAAGAAATTCTAATTTTATTCTTTAACTCTGTGCCAATAATCTCTTGCTCTCCAAAGCTAATGAACTGCAAATACTTTTCCGTTATTGCAAGAAAACATTTTAATAAAAACATGTTTATCTCCGCTCTGTGTGGGTGACACGTTTGTAAGAGACACTTGCTAGCGTGCAGATGTTTTTTTATTTATTTTTTAAGCTTGATATTCCTTCAAACTGAACAAAAGGCATCCTATTAAATGTAAAGCTGTGGAGCACTGCTCCCATTTTAACTCCGAAAAAAAAAAAGATCAAAGATTGAATTCTGCCATCTTGACGGAAGATCCCTCAAGACATTTCCCGGCGTAATGAATCTACAATAAAAGGATATCTGCTATTCCTCTCTTTATATATCCCAAGTGAGGAGAATTTCCAATTAATTTCTTTATTATTCACAGGGGTTCAGAACATAGAGTTTATTGGTTCGGCCTCTACGCTTTTCAAAAATGTCTTGAAAATTATACTCATCACCTGACGGCTATTAGCCTTCATCTCTGGGTCAAAATGAAACACTTAACCTTGGTAGACATATTCAGTTTGATACATAGTGGAATATACTTGGTAATGCTTGATGCATTAGGAAAATTGTACTTCATGTATATATATGAATAAAAAGATGGCAGCCCAATACTTGACCCTCACCTTACTTTAATGCATTTTATAGACAATGCACTGATAGGTAGAAATAAAAAAATACATATCTTTAACGTTTATATGTTTGCTGTAATATACATAAAAATTGTTGCTCTTGGTGCTTCAAAGATTTTTTTTATTATTATCATTATTATTATTTATAAAGCACCAACAAGTTCCGTAGCGCTGTACAGTGGGTGGACTAACAGACATGTATTTGTACCCAGACAAGTTTGACGCACAGGAACAGAGGGATTAAGGGCCCTGCTCAATGAGCTCACATGCTAGAGGGAGTGGGGTATAGTGACATAAAAGGTCAGGGTAGGGTGAAAGTAGGTTGCTCATTGAGGACCTAGTGTTTTGTTTTGACAGTTTCAGGAGAGGAATCAGGGTGCGGGAAGGGAAAGCTGTTTAGTTTAATTGATTTGCTTTCCTAAAGGAGTAAGCTTTCAAAGATTTTTTGAAAGGGGTGGAGATTGGGTCAAAGTCTAACAGAGAGGGGAAGGGCATTCCATAGGAATGGTGCAACCCTGGAGAAGTCTTTAAGGTGAGCATCAGAGGTAGGAGTACGAACAGAGGTTAGACGTAGGTCTCCGGCAGAGCGTGGGGACCTAGATGGGACATATTTGTGTATTAGTGAGAATAAATCGGTGGGAGCAGCATTGTACACATAGAGATGTGTAAGCAAGTGTCAGGATCTTAAATTGAGCCCTGTATCTTACGGGAAGCTAATGGAGGGACTGGCAAAGGCGTGGAGGCGTGGGAGGTGCGGGCAGACAGGAAGTTGAGCCTCGCCACTGCATTCATTATAGCAAGTTGGGAACCTGCAAGCGGCAGGATTTGGTGCTTGATTGGACATGAGGGGTGAAGTAGAGGTCGGAGTCAAAGAAAACACCTAGGCAGGATGGTAGCACTATTGACTTGGAGGGGCAAGGACAAGGGAGTAGCAACACTTGAGGGAGGGAAGACCAGAAGTTCTGTTTTGGACAGGTTCAGTTTAAGGAAATGAGCAGCCATCCAGTTGTAAATAGCAGGGAGGTAGTCAAGAAGGATGGTGAGAAAATATGGCTGTAAGAGTATTATGGGAGATGTAGTCCACAACATCTGGACTGCCAAAGGTTGACTACCCCGAGTAGAATTTCGGTGTCTTCTTCTTAATATTATTCTTTAAATGGTTAACGAGAACGAGGATCATGTTCACGGGAATAGTCTTCTCAAACTGTGAAGGAAATCCCGTTTAAATGATTTTACATTATTAATCAGTAGTATTTATTAATAGCGTACAGATGGGATGCACAGATGAAAACACCACCAGCTGAGAATACTTACTTAACATAGCGATCAATAACAGAATATTAAACGTTTTAGCTGTGCGAGCTTCCTCTCATGCAGGGGTTGATATTAGACTGTAGGTATCCTCTATATGTGTTTCACTCTGAAGAGTTCATGATTTGGAGATTTTTAATTATTTACAAATGGCATGTTTGATGCCCGTCTTTGAATAACCTATCTATCATCCTTTACTGACAATGACATGTAATCAATGAAGATACCAGTAAGTCTTTGACCTTCTGAACAGATCAATTTCAACTTGTCAAGTAAGACATTTACACTTTTCAGCCAGACAAATTCTTGAGCGTTTGAATGACAAATTCCTGAATTGAACACTTGTATATATATGTGGTTATATATATATATATATATATATATATATATATATATATACCAGATTGTTGCGTCAGACCTAAGGAACAGATTATAACACTCAAAAGTTTGCCTTTCTAAAAATTATGTTGGACAGAGGAAATTGTACACGTTCTGATCAAAACATAACGTTAACAAAACCTAGAATTTGTGCAATTTTTCTGTTCAACTGCAATTCCCCTCTTTCATATTAAGTTCACCCACACTTATAATATAGCATTTTGGATGGAGAAACAGGACTTTCATTTCACATCAAATATTTATTATGATGAAAATCTAAAAAGTATGAGAAATTTAAAAATGTTTTTATTTTTTGTGGCATTTTAACTGTGAATTTAATGCCATAAGCTTTTTTTGCAATAAAATACACATATTTGTTTTCAGCGATGTCTCATGAGTAAAACAGGACCCCCTATGTGCAAGTTTTATGGTGTTTTGGAAAGTCACTGGAACAAATATAGCATGTTACATTTTTCTGTTTATATTATAATACATTGAAATTTGCCAGACTGCTTATGTTGCCTTTGAGTCCGTCTGGTAGTCCAGGAATAAGAATTACCCCATTTGCAAAAGTAGACAACCCAATGTATTGCAAATGGGGTATGTCCAATATTTTTTAGTAGCCACTTAGTCACAAACACTGGCCAAAGTTAGCGTTTATATTGGCTTGTGTGTGAAAAATGCAAAAAAACAATGATCATACATTGCATAAGCCTGCCACATGGGGCACATTGACGTTGTGGCAGGCTTATGCAATTTATGATCATATAATGTAACTAAACCCCCATCTTTGCCTAGATTAGGTGTTTTAAAAAAAAAAAAACTAATACAATCTGTCAACATTGAAGTTGCTGTTTAATGGGTAGGCGAGTGCGCTGGATCTTGTGTATTGTACGTATTGTATAATTTGGCCCCCTGCAGCACCCCATTTATGCATGTTCAGGTGAATGCAGCCTCCCCCCCCCATTATATATATATGTATATTTGGGAGTCTAGCCAACTCCTTGGTTTTGCACCCTTCTCTGTCACAGGTGCCTCATCTCAGGGCCCTATTTAGCCTTGTACTGCAGAGAGCCCCAGATGGAATTTTTTCCCCCAAGTAAGTGGGTTAATCTCAAAGGAGCAAACATTAGGCTGTTAGAGTAGGACCTGCCAAAGATGGGGTACATTGACGTTGTGGCAGGCTTATGCAATGTATGATCATATAATGTAACTAAACCCCCATTATTTTTGCCTAGATTAGGTGTTTTAAAAAAAAACTAATTAAATCTGTCAACATTGAAGTTGCTGTTTAGTGGATAGGTGAGTGTGCTATATCTCTAATGATCCTGAAGGGTGCACTGTACTTGATTGAGGGGTAGAATCTAATTCTTAGTGAGTTACCATCTTTCCTACCAGAGACCCCCTGGGGTAGAAGTATTTACTTTGAAGAGCTGAATAAGTGATTAGGATTTTCTGTTATTTTATCCCTTTAGTTTGTATCTGTTGGTGTAAATAATTTAGATTTTCATCTATATTTTTGTATGCACTGTGACTATTTTATGCTCATATTAAATATTCCTTTAAGTTCTGCCTTTGTCTGGTAAAAAAAATTACATTACCTGAAGAGAATTAGTGGTTTGCAATTGCTTAGAGATTGTGCTACGTGTATTTGGTGGGTTTTTATTATTGATTTACCTGGGGGGACCAAGGCACCCCATTTATAAATTGTCTAGGTGGTGGCAGTGATACAATAGTAATAGTTATATTATTATGCTTTAGTGTGGGTGGTGTTAAGTGGGATTGTATTATTATTTCCGGTCTAGTGCAGACAAATAGTGAACTGTAACGCTTTCACCACCACAACTATGTCACACACAGTCTTGAAGTAGGGTGCGTTTGTGACATAACCCACATCTTTTGTATGAGAAATACCACGTGCAAGGAAGAAAGGAATACACTTTTACACAGAAAACTGAATGAAAATAAATTCAAATTTTTGTGCAAAAAGGTCCATACTTGAACGCTTCAAGTCTTTTGCTATAGTAATTATAAGTTATTATTAAACATTTTACTTACTTGCTAAGGGTACTATTACATTACACATTGTTTACAGAAACCTAAAAAAACAATTGTGCAAATTTGTACAATTAGATTTTTTACATTTAAAATGTACGTTTGACAAAATAAAATCAACAAGGTTGCTCAAATATTCTCCTCATAGTTGTTTGGAAAGAACCTTGTGTAATTTCTGGCAATAAAGCTTTCTAAAAATGCAACCGGAATGTTAAAACAATGAATGTGGGAGGGGCGGAGCCTGACTGCCAGACTCACCGGACGTGCTTGATTAGAGCTCCAGCATCTGATCCCAAGATCTGTTCCCAAGCCACTCCATTTTATGGACTGCGGTTTGCCATATTCTTGCCCAGGGAACAATACTGCACCTTGGGACCCCTTACTTGAGCCTCCCCATAGTTGTGTTGTCTGAATCTAGGCCTGTGGCCTACTCAAGCTTGAGGCAGTCGCTCTCCCTGTTCTCTGGCTGACAGAGACACACCCATACATTGCTACCCCTGCATTTTGGACCGGTGGGGGTTTTTCCGATCTCCACTGACCTGCCTCACTCACCTTTACTGACTGCCAGCAGTTGATACTGCCCAGGTTCCGACCGCAGGACATTTCAGCTAGATGGCTCAGGTAACACAGCCAGTGAAAACACACCATGGCACACTTGAGCACATGTTGACACGCCTCAATGAGATTTTTGCTCACTTCTGGGCATAATTGGAGTCCCATATCACGGTGGCTTGAAGCTGGGATGAAGAGCAAAGGGTTTGTGAGCCCCCATCTGGCACAACTTCCTCACAAACATCAGTATGCCCTATCTTTCACCAGCCTGGGTTGAGAGACGACGAAGATATATTCTCACCAGAACAACCACAGAGGCAGCTGCAAGTAGCGACAGACCACCCGGCAGGGAAGGACTTGGACTCTTTTGCCAGCCTCCGGGTTGGTGAGTATATGTTGCAAGCACTCAATACGGAATGGGGGTTTCTACACTTCGCCCCTGTCTTGTAACGCCTCTGGGCTGCTTCCCCATGTTTCCGAGTCTGAAAGTTTGCTGACTATCCACGGCTAAGAGCCTGTTCTACGTTGTCGTATACTTAATGCCTGCCAACCTTTTATTGCAATTCAATGCCCTTGTTTATCACTTAATGCTATGATTTTGCCTTTTTTTTTGCCTTCCTTTAATAATTTGAGAGATATAGTGTTGTAGCAGAAAGTTGTGCATTAGTGGCTATGTCCATAACAGTCTAGTCTCGAATGAGGCAATTTTACCTAGTTGTAGCCCTCATGTCTTACTAATCTCCCTATCTTCTCAATATGGTTTCACCTGTGAAGTGCTGAAAAGTAATTGTGCATGGACAGGGTATATCGTTTGTGTAAAAAAAACTTACTTGACCTTTAGGAAAAGAAAATATTTTGCTGAACAAGTGCATTATTTCATAAATTGGATGAGATATTAGACGGACATATCCAAGAGATTACTTCATCTGGCTAACATCGCTTGCCAAATTGATTTGAACATAGTTCAGATAAAAAAAGCTCAAAGGTGTTGCCTGGACTACCCGTCCTTGTATTTGGCAGTTCCACGTAATAACATGAAAAGAATGTAATTAATTTATGCTTTATATCAGTGAAGCAGGGAGCTTTAAAATTCTCCTAATTGAAAATCTGATAAAAGGTGTACTTTGTAAATATGGCAGCCTCATGGGTCACAGCCGGAACACGGTTTGTTAAGAATGTCCTCAATGTGGAATGTTAAGCTTCCGATATTGGTCAGTCAGCAGCAGCTCGGCTTTTTCTTCAAGTAAAGCTGATTTTCGAAGATTAGGGTAATACTTGTGTTTATTGTGAGGGCTGCTTTTGAGAGGCGCAGTTGCTTTGAAGAATTTTCAGTAGCATTTTTAAAAGCCTACCATGTGAGCGATAGATTTATTATAGGAAAAGTTTATCAAAAGGATTACTAGAGTCACATTGTCTTAAAGTGCACCTGTCATGCAAAAATAATAACAAGGTGGAATTTCACAGATAATAACATTTATTTTTGTCATTTAAATGTTTTCGAGATTTTACGGGCAGAGGAACTTAAAATGTCACTAGACTACTAAGAGCAGCCCTGCAGCAGTGGTAGGGGGACAATCATCTTCTCTCTTATTATCATTTATTCTATCAAACACATACTCAACTGAGGCATATTCAATACATTTGTCAATTTAAGTGCATTCCACTTCGATTTCACAATCCATGTAGTAGAACAGCCCAGTTATGGGATCCTTGATCTTTTTCATTAAGTCTACAATGAACAAATGTACACAAAACGGGAGAGCGCAATTAAGAACTAATTAAGAATAAATATAAAGATAATATACCAAATTTAAAACAAGCAGCTATACACACAAGAAACTTCCTTAAAAACTTCACAACAAACAATATTAAAAATAAGTGTAAGCGCTATACTAGAAAAACCCTAAATTGGGTGATCCATATGTAATTTATGAAATAAAAACAACTGTATATGCACAATTACAATTGGTAAAAAAAAAAAGACCTTGAAGTCGATCAACAGCATAAAAAAAGCAGCATGTGTTATTTCAAAAAACACTTTAAATACTCAAATGTCCGAGAGTCCTTGGGTAATAACACAGAGGGTTAATGTTGCCACACAGATAGGATCCGCATATGGATCACCCAATTTAGGGTTTTTCTTGTACAAGTCTATGATGAAGAATCGCCCACCAGTATATTGGGTGATGCAAGAGTTAGTGATTATCCAGAGTCAGTTTATTCCTTGAGGAAATATGATTGATAGATTTGTAGATTTGATTAGTTCCAAATTGCTCGAAGGCGGTTCTTCATCGTAGACTCATATGCGCCACGAAGGAAACAGAGCTGGTATACCGTGGGACATTTCATCTAAATTCAGATAAGTGCATCAAATCAATTCATTATCATGGTGTTATTTTTATGCATTTGAAGTCTTATTTATGGGGTAAAGCTGCAGGTGCTGTGCCGGGTAGACAGTAAAATAGTCACAAATATTAGAGGAAGAAGTGTAAAAGACGGAACTCTCAAGGGGATAAGAGAAAATAAAAGGATAAAGAAAGAGGAATAAGAGGGGAAAGAGAAGGAAGGGGAAAGAGAAGAAGGAGAAAGAGAGAAAAAAAAAAAGAAAAGAAGAAGAGAAAGAGAAAAGGGAAAATTGGGGTTCAGCGAAATGGCAAATAGAAGTTCTCATGATTCTAAATCATCTTTAAAAAAATATAAAACAGAACAGACACGAGATAAGAGCCTAACTACTTATTTTTCCCCCCAGCAACAAAAAGAGCAACAAAGAGTTAATTTAAAGGACCACTATAAGCACCTAGACCACTTCAGCTTAATGAAGTGGTCTGGGTGCCAGGTCCAGTTGGGGTTAACCCTTTTTTTTTTTTATAAACATAGCAGTTTTTTTTTTAAATAAAAGGGTCTATTCACAGCGGTGAGTTTAAAGGGAGTCCCCCTCCCTCCTAAGACACTATGAAATTTAATGATTAACAAGATAAGGTTGAAATCCAAGTATGTGTGAAATTAAAGTTAGACATCGTAAGGAACTTTAAATATAAATTTGATAGAATCACTCAAAACTAAAGGGTTAAGAATGGGTACAGATAATTATAAATGCCTTTCTCTAAGTGGGTCTAAGAGTCAAAGTAAACTACAATAAAAATACACTAAATATATGGAAAATGTATTTTTATTTAGAATATTGATACTAACACAATGTTACAGAGGTGAGATAAGGAAGGTGAACAGATTGCACAACAGGAATAGAATGGAACACTCAATAGGACTGTGGGGAACGCTTGAGAAATAAGAGTTATAAGGTTTTTTTTTCAGTTTTTTTTATTAGATAATTTTCCTCAAATCCTAATAGGGTCTGCCCCACCTTCTGTAGTAATACTACAGTGTTTTTTGTAACTCCTATGGGTTGCAAAGAAATAAGAGGAACTTTGTTCCAAAATGTCTATGTTTGGTATGGGACTGCGGACCGTTACAAGGTCGGTCAGTCTGGTATGAATGCCTTTTTTGTTAATGTACTTAATATAGAGGCAGTTGGTTTTTGGAATACATTTCTGTTTCAATGTTCAGGTTAATGTCGATAAATGTTCAGGGATTAAACACTGTATTAAAAAGAAATAGGTTATCTCATTCTCTAACACAGGAAAATATACAAATAGATTTCCTGCAGGAAACACATTGGCTACAGAATTCATCTCAAAAATGATTTCCTGAGATTCGACATGCTTCCTTAAATATAAAGAAAAGAGATGTGGCAATAGTATTCTCTAAAGAGATTGAAGTTATTATCAAATATCAAGAAGCCGACGAAGAGGCAAGATATTTAATATAAGTATGTGAAATAGACAATAAAACATACACTTTGGTGAATATATACTTACCAAATGTGGACCCAATGTCATTGTTTGCCAAGATAATGTGTAAGGTACAGCATATAAGGAAAGGTACTTTGATTATAGCAGGGGACTTTAATTGTGTACTAGACCCAAAGATGGACAAAATAGCGCAGGGAATTTTGAAGAGGGATAATAGAACTATAAAACAATCCAAGAAATTGTGGGCATTGTGTAGAAGGTATGATCTATACGATGCATGGCGTGCCAGCACCCTATGGATAGAGATTACACCCACATATCCAGTGCGCATGGCTCATATTCGAGAATTGACATGTGTCTGGTAAATGCTAATATAACTCCCATCATTGATAAAATAATAATAAAAGAGAACACATGGTCCGACCATAGCTTTATTTTGATTGATATAGGGAAACCCAATTGATGAACACCTGGAGATTGAATGATCGGTTAAATTAAATTGTTACGCAATAAAACGAAATATCAAAACTTTTAAAATTATTTTTTGAAGGAAATAATCCTACTGAGCTCTCATATATTATAAATTGGTGTGCTCATAAAGCAGTCATGAGGGGTTATTTAATTAAAATGGACCATATACAAAGAGAAAAAACTGAGAAAAATCTATCTGATTTACATATAGCTTTTTACAATCTCTCTAGATTGAACAAATCTCAACCATCACTCGAAAGAAAATTAAAATTAAATGATCTACAAAACAAAATGAACTTAAAAACAGGAAAAAATCAAATCAACGATAGATAAATTGAAGTCAAATAATTATTATACGGGCAATCGTGCTAACAAAAACTTAGAAATAGGGTAGAAAAACTTGTGGACGATCAAATGATTTATACCTCTCCTGAACAAATTGGTCAAAAATTTCATAAATTCTAGCAGGAATTATATAATTTAAAAATTAATCCAAAATATATAGATATACAAAAAATATTTAACTAATACGAAGATTACTAAGATCTCAGATGAAGATTTGTCTATGTTAAATCAAGCAATTTCTTTAGAAGAAGTCGACAGACAAATAACTAAACTATTTTTAAAATGTAAATCGGAACCAGCGCTTGTTAGTTTGAATATCAGTATACCACCTTGTAAATTGTTCTTATTAGCTGCTAAACATTCAAGTGATTCCTTACAATACCACTGATACAAGATACAAAACACCGATCCCAGTTCCCAGTACTTCATCATTCACAGCAGGGAGTGCAGTCGCAAAGCTGCACAATGCTTAAGAATTGAGTCATTATTTTATGACTCTACATTTGTAAGTACCTATTTGGGATTCTTTATTTTATATTAGAATTAGAGCCAACAATACT